TGTGGAGGAATTAATTATTGTGTGGAGTAAATTAAATGTTCTGGACTGACATTCTGCAGTTTAGCCACAAGATGCCACTGTTTTCCTAACACAGCCTCAGACTGCATAGATATTTCTATATTCATGAAGAGGTGGGGGTTTTCACACAGAGTTTTAGAGAACAGGAAGGAGAGAGACAGCAGCCATGTTTTGGAGGATGGTGAATGCAAGAGCCGTGTGAGAAGAGAATCTGGTGGCATCCAGGTGTGAGAGCATCCCTCAGTAACCAGAGCTGCAGCTAAGTGAAGCTGATCATGTCCAAGACCCTGATCCTGTTCAGAGAAAGGAAGATTGCTGCCAGGAATGCTGATGGGAGCAGAGGAACAAAGCAACATACACTGCGAGACCGCACTGCGAGACATTTGTTCTGTTCAGAGTCACCAGCGGATACAAAGCAGACCCGGGTCGGTAAGATCGTGCACGCACCTCATTTCAGTGTCCAGGCCTATAGTTAGTTAGGGTCTCTGTTTGTATCAGGCCACAAATGTTATTACTGATCATTGGAAGGACTCCATAACTTAAAGCAACATTTCACATTGGAGAGCTGATAACATCCCACAAACTCAATCCAGACTGGTGTTTTGCTCAGAAGGAATACTCAGGCATGTGCTACAGGACCAGTTATGGGAGGGGGAATACTGTAGATTTGTGTAAGATTGTAAGCTGTTGTGCTGCACCGCAGGCTGCACCGCAGGCTAGCCCATACCGTACCCCCATACACTGATTCCTGCTCTTTTAGGGTAATACCAGGTAAGGTGTGGCAGCTTAGTTGTGCCCGCCAGTAGGTAAATTACTGGGAATCCATCAGAAGGCGCTGTGCTGTGCAGCACAAGGGTCTCAGCCTTTGGGCTGGGTGTATGTAAATTTATTGTATGTTCTCAGCATTTTGTGGTTGTGTTCGCCACATCTAAGTAAAATTCTGTTGTGGCAAAAGCTGGTGTTGGGGTTGCTTTCCTCATTTGTGACTTCACTGTATCCTGTGGAGCCCACCCCGGTACACGGCTTACAACTTGGCGTAGTCGGCAGGATACAGCAACCGTTATGGACGGGAATGCGGCGGGAGATCTTCCCCCAGCGCCAATGGCACTGGTCCAGGACCCAGCTCAGGGTGCGCCAGTGCTAGACCAAGTTGCCCCAACACCGCTGATACAGCTTGCGCTCGCCCTGCCCGTACCAGTAGGGTACATTCCCCTGGGGGTGCTGTTGAGTCACCTGCCAAAATTTGATGGTAAAAATATGACGTTGCAGGACTGGACTGAAAGAGTGCGAAGTGCACTTAGAATGTGTAACCTGACTTCCGAGCTGTGGGCAGAGGTTGCATTGGGGGCTCTAGAGGGTGACGGCAGACGGACAGTGATGATAAGGTCCGAATCTGAGAGAGACACCCTAGAGAAAATATTCTCCCTGCTGGAAAGAGCCCAAGGGGGGCGTGCTAAAGTAGTGCAGCTGCGGAGCCATTTTATCAGGGAACAAGAAGATCGCCGCAGCGCATGAATCTGTGCATGCGCAGGATCCCGACAAGGCATACAGGCAGGCGGGCACTAGGACTCAGGCACGCCTGCCACCAATGACAACACCGGGCAGGCACTAGGACCCAGGCGCGCCTGTCGGTGCTGGGTGGGCTATTTAAAGAACACCTCGGTGCTGATTCAGTGCTGACTGGTCTTCAGCTTCCCCAGTGTCCTGCTTGTTTCCTGTGCGATTCCTTTGGTGCTGACCCGGCTTGTTCCTGACCCGACTCTGAGTTTTCTTCTGCCCCCCCGGTTCTTGACTTCGGCTCTGTTCCTGACTTTGGCATTTTCTTCCTGATCCTGTACCGCGCTGCCCAACTGTTATGACCCTGGCTATCCTACGACTCCGCTCCAGTCCTGTATCCTGGCTGCAAACCTGGCTCTGCTGTGCATCTGACAATCCACTGTGACTGCCTGGTCTATTTCTACAGTATCCGAATCAGTGGATATCCTGCTTACCAAAGTCATCATCTGCAAGAGCCGCAAGCAAAACCCTGGTGCTCTTGTCCCCCGGGTCCTTAGACTCCCTCTGTTCCAACCTCAGCGGGCTCAGGATTAGTGACACAAGTGAGGGCGACCTCGTCAATTCAGTCTCCCATCAGGTACGTGACAGTACCAGTCAGCCAATGATGGAGTCTGAAAGGGAGGCCTCACAACTGGGGGACATTCCCCAAACTGTGACTTCCTTGTCCAACGTAATACATGACCTGCAGAGAAACTGCCAATACCTGGAGAGCAAACTGCGAACCGACCCTAATGTCCTCTCAGACACAGTAACCTGTGGTACAGCCACTCAAACCGAGATCAGTATGTTCCTTGAAACTTCGGTTCTACCGGAACCCCAGGTACCTATGCTTGAGTTCTTTACAGGAGATCGCCGGAAGTTCAGGACTTTTCGTAACTCCTGTGAGTTATATTTCTCTCTGCTCCCCAGGACCTTCTCCTCACCAAGTACTAAAGTAGGGTTTGTCATCACCCTTCTTAGAAATGAACCCCAGTCCTGGGCATACCATCTTCGTGAACAACATGATCCGGCCCTAACCTCTGTGGATTCATTCTTTTCAGCAATGGCGCAAGTTTATGCAGATCCCTTCCAGCGCCAAACTGCGGAATCTATGATCAGTAAACTACAACAAGGCCAAAGGCCTGTGGAGGATTATGTCACTGAATTCCGTATCTGGAGTTCTGATACTCAGTGGAACGAGTCTGCTCTCCGTCATCAGTTCCGCCTTTATCTTTCTGACACCCTCAAGGATGAGCTGGTCCGAGTGGGGGTACCAAAAAGACTGGAGACTCTGATAGACCTTTCCCGGATTTGGGAAAGGTTAAATGAAAGGACCAGTGGGAAACTTCTGTTATGCCCTGAAGTTGGACCAGCTAAGAATGTTGTCCAGTCTGAGTTGCCCACCAATCCAGCTCGAAGGAGCTTTTGATGACCACAGTTATCCGCAGCAGAACGTCTCCGTCAGCAGAAGTTCAATCTCTGCCTCTACTGTGTTGAAGCGGGACATTTCGTGGCTTCCTGCCCGATCAAACCTCACAAATCTTTGCCCAACTGCTTCTACACGATGCATCCTCAGGGAACTGACCGAACGCACCTCTCTTTTCAGCTGCAACTACAACTGGCCGAAAGGACTATAACGGTCCCGGCCATCATTGACTCAGGTGCCTGTAGCTGCTTCATGGATTCCCATTTTGCTACTCAGAATCAGATTCCCCTCCGCACGAAAACAGAGGCTTGCAGTTCATCTGGCGGGCGGGTCTGGTATTAGTTCCGGTCCGGTAACACAAGAAACCTTGCCAATATTTTGCTATTCTCGGTCGGGACACCAAGAATTCCTATGACTGGACATTATCACTTCCCCGATTTTTCCAATTATCCTCAGTATGCCTTGGTTAAAAGTACATAATCCAACCATCAATTGGTTGACCGGAGAGATCTCTCTCCCTTCTGAATATTGTTAGAGTCACTGCACCCTCAAAGAGACAGGTGGGACAACCCCTCTCCTCAGTATTCATTCTGACCCTGAAACCCTGAAGTTGTCCCTACGGCATACCACAAATACCTGGATGTGTTTAATAAGAAGAGTGCCAACACCCTTCCTCCACATCGTCCTTATGATTGTCCAATTGAGCTCCTGCCGGGGCAAAAATTCCTTTCGGTAGGATTTACCCTCTGTCCGAAGTCGAACTAAAGGTCCTCCGGGGATATATAGATGAAAGCCTGGAAAAGGGGTTTATTCGGCCATCTACTTCACCAGCAGGAGCCGGCATATTCTTCGTGGAGAAGAAAGATGGCACTTTAAGACCTTGTATAGATCGGTACTTGACCCAGTTCCTCGTCAAATGGAAGGGTTATGGACCTGAGGATAACTCCTGGAAACCGTCCACTAATGTCCATGCCCCACGGATACTTCAAGCCTACCTCCGCCGTCATCCTTAGAAACGAGCCCTAGTGGGCACCGGAGGCTGCCCATTGGAGGGGGCAATATCAGGGAGCAAGATCACCGCAGTGCATGAATCTGCGCATGCGCAGGATCCCGACAAGGCATATAGGCAGGCGGGCACTAGGACCCACGTGCGCCTGTCACCAATGACGACACCGGGCAGGCACTAGGACCCAGGCGTGCCTGGCGGCACTGGGCGGGCTATTTAAAGAGCACCTTGGTGCTGATTCAGTGCTGACTGGTCTTCAGCTTCCCCAGTGTCCTGCTTGTTTCCTGTGCAATCCTGGCTTGTTCCTGACCCGACTTTGAGTTCTCTTCTGCCCCCCCAGTTCCTGACTTTGGCTCTGTTCCTGACTTTGGCATTCTCTTCCTGATCCTGTACTGCGCTGCCCGACTGTTATGACCCTGCCTATCCTACGACTCCACTCCAGTCCTGTGTCCTGGCTGCAAACCTGGCTCTGCTGTGCATCTGACAATCCACTGTACCTGCCTGGTCTATTTCTACTGTACCTGAATCAGTGGATATCCTGCTTACCAAAGTCATCATTTGCAAGAACCGCAAGCAAAACCCTGGCGCTCTTGTCCCCCTGGTCCTTAGACACCCTCTGTTCCAACCTCAGCGGGCTCAGGTTTAGTGACACAAGTGAGGCCGACCTCGTCAATTCAGTCTCCCATCAGGTACGTGGCACATTTCTTCAACCGACCACAGCAAGAGGGCGAGACCCTGATGCAGTACTCCAATGCACTACAGGAGACACTAAATGAAATACTGCGGCGAGATCCAGAGGCCATGGGAGCTTTCCGGGAGGTGGACCGGCTACTACGAGACCAGTTCATAGTGGGGCTCTCCAACAAGTTCTTACAGGACAAATTGCAAGAGATGACCCGGACAGCGCCCAACATGACATTCTACAGCATCTACATAGCCGCCGTGGAGAGAGAGGAAGAGTGCATACCTGTGGTGGCAAGAATAGTGAGTAGTAGCCATGCTACAAGAGGTCAGTCTGCATCTGAAGTCTCGGAATCCTTAAAGCATGTGGTCCAGGCCCTGCGGACAGAATTAAGAGAACTTGGCTGAAAGTGTCCCAGATGAAGGCAGAATCTCCCCTGCCTCCGGAAATGACCCCAGCACCCCGCTCCACTCCTCCCAAGATAACTCAACTGCAGGGGCACATCAAAAGGGGATCCCTCTGTTGGGCTTGTCGACAGTACGGCCATATGGCCAGAGAGTGCCCAGAACAGATGAAATCCGAGCCGACGTTAAACTTCCGACCGCCACAGTAGCTGGGCGTCCTGCGGCGGTACACCAGAAGCTAAGCCGTAGGCATGAGGAATACGACCTGTATGCCAGCAGCCCCATTATGGAAGCCGAGTTGGAAGGCCAGAAGGTACGCGGCCTAGTTGATACAGGGTCGGAGTGCACCCTTATGCCTCTGAAGTTCTTCGAAAGACACTTTGGACCTATGATGGAGCCGGAAGACGGGAGAGTCATCAAGCTGACGGGTGCCAATAACAGAGAGATGGACATCCGAGGAATAGTCTGGATGCGGGTCCGGCTATGTGGGCAAGACGTCGGCAAGAAGGGGGTCGTGCTGGTGGATCATTCGTCCCGGAGAGGGATAGACGTGACACTAGGTATGAACGTGCTGAGAGACCTAGACCATCAACTTTATGCCAAAGAAGGGCTGAGGTATTGGCAACGGGCCACCACACTCCAGCCAACCCAGAAGGTTCTACAGCAGATGGTGAGGAACTGTAGTCTGAGAAAGGGCGATATGTCCGGTCGACCCATTGAAAACGTGAGGGTGCCGCGGAGGACCCCAGTAAAGATCCCGCCTCAACAAGAGCAAATATTGATGCTGCCAGTTGGGGCTGGACAACAACTGAATGGACTGGCGGTCCTGATCGAGCTCGCGTACCAAGAAGAAATGCAGACTCATCCATTGGTAGCCCAGGCCCTCGCTATTGTGAAGGATGGATGTGTGCCTGTACACTGCCTAAACGTTGAAGACTGAGTTAACCATCCCTGGGAATACCTCGATGGAGGAGCTTCACGCTACGGCCAGATAGGAGATCAGCCTGGACCTATGCTATAGAGGTCCATCAAAGGGAGAACTCGACAGCGGAGTGGAGCATGGCCCGGATGGGGGTGAACTGCAAGACCCTGACTCCAGGACAACAGAAGTTGCTGGAAGACATCCTTTGGGAATTTCAAAGGCCTTCTCGAGACATGATGAGGACTTCGGGTGTGCCTCCACCAACTGTGTCGAAGGCCGCGGAAAGGTCGAGGAGTAAGAGGACTGAGTAGTGGCCATTAGCTTTGGCGGTTAGCAGGTCATTGGTAATTTTGAGTAGGGCGGTTTCGGTGGAGTGTAGGGGACGGAATCCAGACTGTAGTGGATCAAGGAGGTTGTTGTCAGTGAGGTGGGCGCAATGATTGACATAAGTCCACTATAATATCATAATATGGATTATGTAGTCCACCATAGGATTCAATCACTGTGGGTATGGTCCGGTGTTCTGTTGTAGAGATATGAATAGATTGCCTACTCACCAGAAACACAATGTTAATGCGCATATCTCGATCACATGCATCCTGGAGTCCCGGGTAGAAACAGCCTGGTGCTAGGATCCTCTGGTGGTCCTTCAATGGTGTGTAAGAAGGATACTGGTCTGGTCACAAAGTACTTACTCCTTAGGTCTGCGACGATGCCTGAAATACTGGGGCTGCGTTGTGGAGGCTCAGTGCCAGGTATGGAGAATAAAGGTGCTCATAGTATACTATTATAAATAATAAATGTATTGTGTCAATTAAGAGCAATGCCATACATACATAAATGACTGCAAGATGCTGCTGTGAGCAATGATAAAAGTACCTGAAAAGCACTAACCAGTACAAGTCAAATGTAGGCCGCCGGACCTCCTGATCCCGCGGCGTGACGTCAAAGCGTGCAAGGGCTCCTACTAGACGCGTTTCATGTAAACACACGTCTGCAGTAGGGGTGATGCATTGGCGATGTCCTTGCGGATTGCGTTGATCTTATTTTGGAAGTGATTGGCAATCTCGTGGGCAGTGAGTGAGGTACTGGTTGGGGTTGGGGGGGAGAGAGTAGGGAGTTGAAAGTGGAGAAGAGCCGGTGAGGACAGGTGGAGAGAGTGTTGAGGGTTACGAAGTAGGCTTGTTTGGCGACATGGAGGGAGGAGGAGTAGGTGCGGAAGGTGGATTTGTAGAGGGAGAACGCTCGAGGAGATTTGGTTTTGTGCCATAATTGTTCCAGCGTGCGACTGCGACGTTTAAGATTTTTGGTGTGGTCGTTCTGCCAGGGTTGAAGCGGTCGGGGTCTAATGATACGTGTGGTTAGGGGTGCTAAGGAGTCTAAGGCAGCTGACAGCGAGTCATTATACGCAGTAGTGGCCAGGTCAGGGCATGACAGTGGAAGGATACTGTTGTACAGATGGTCAGCTGCAGAGTGGAGAGGGGCCGGGTTCAGGTTGCGGAGGTTACGGCTGGTGATGGTTTGACATTTGAGGGGAGAGGCGTTAGAGGACAGGGAGACGGAGAACATAATATGAGGTTGTGGTCAGAGAGAGGGAAAGGGGTGTTAGTGAGGTTGTGGGGGGTACAGAGATGAGAGAAAACAAGGTCCAGGGTGTTCCCATTGGTGTAGGTGGAGGACTGTGTGCACTGTGTGAGTGCAAAAGAGATTAAGTGGAGGAGTTGGGATGTAGCTGGGTTGTTGACATTGATAGGGATATTGAAGTCTCCGAGGATGATGGTGGGTAGCTCAGAGGAGAGGAAGAAGGGTAGCCAAGTCGCCAAGGAAGCGGGATACAGGTCCAGGAGGCCGATAGATTACTGCAATCCTCAGAGGGGAAGGGGGGAGGGGTGGATGCAGTGGGCCTTGAAGGAGGAGAAGGATAGAGAAGGGGGGTTTGGGAGGACCTGGAAGGTGGTCAGCAGTGACAAGAGCACGTTGACCTCATCACCTCTATGACCGCTCGGTCTGGGTGAATGGGACCCAGACGAGAACTCCATAGGAGAGTGCTGCAGGGCAGGGAGACTCAGTGGCTTGGATCCAGGTTTTGGTGACCGCTAGGAGGTGGAGGGAGTGGGAGATAAAGAGGTCATGGATGGCGGTGAGCTTGTTGCAAACCGATCGGGCGTTCAGCAGTGCAACTGAGAGGGGAGGAGTGGATGTGGGGAGCAGGGGGACAGGTATAAGATTGAGGGGGTTGCGGCGGTTCATGGGAGTAGGAGGGTGCCTAGTTGGTGAGTGAGGTGGTGAGGGACTAGGGTTTGGGGAGATATCCCCAGAGGTTAGGAGAAGAAGGGTGAGGAAAGTAGGATGGGAGCGGGATGTACACGAGCGCACATGCCTTCCAGTCCTGGTATTTGGGTCAGCAGGAGAGTGAAGTATCAGCAGGAGGTGATGAGAGCAGTAGTAGGGAGATGGTAGCAGTGAGGGTGAGATGTACAAGTTGTGGGGTGGAGCAGAGGGGTAAAGAAGTGAGATTTTGGAAACGCAAGAAAGTAATATGAAAAGGAGGAGTAGAGGGGACATATTAAAAAAGGTACACGTAGTGGGACTCAGACTTGTAAGAGATGTTTCCCAGGGTGTTTGCTCGCAGTCTATCCAGCGTGCAGTAGAGTTTCTTGCTGTTGTGGTGTTTTCCTGCTGCTTGAGTTCTCCTGCTTTAGTTCAACTGCTGTGTTTAACTGCTTATTATAATATATATATATAATATTATATTATTATATTTATATATGCACTATATTACCAAAAGTATTGGTCGACCTGCCTTTACATGCAAATGAACTTTAATGGATTCCCAGTGTTAGTCCGTAGGGTTCAATATTGAGTTGGCCCCGCCCTTTGCAGCTATAACAGCTGACTCTGCGAGTGAAATTTCCTTGTTACTAAATGTAACGGAGTCGGAACCCGACCACTCTTGGGTATATTCCGTTATACCGCAGCTTCCCCTGTCTGAACACCATCCACGGACCACATCCTTGAAATCCCTCAGGAAATAGACAGCACCCAGCTCTTCTTAAACCAGGAAGCCAACTCTCTTTATTTTAACACAAAACACAGGATATATACAGAGGGTGGGGAAACACAACCAGGAACAGGAACCACGTCATCAGCCCGCCCCATCAGTGGTGAGGGCTACAGCATGGGCAGGAAACACCTCATCAGCCCTCCCCATCCAACCAAGACACAGAACAATGGGATAGCACATGGCAAGAACAATAGACAGCCATGTGGCCGAGACAAAGGAATAACCACTTGGCCAAGAACAAAGATAAAGAACAACAACACACAAATGCACAATACTGGGACATTCACACCCTGTACCCCTAAACAGGTACAGGGTGGGTTAAACATAATGGGAATTTGAGAAGATGATACAGAGGTCCCCCCACCCCCAAAAGTCACTCCCGTCACACTAAATATTTCATGCTGAACTCAGGAACTCATCCACCGAGTAGTAGGCCATGTAAAATGTTGAAGCACACAGTGCGCAGAAGTCGCCAATCAATAGCTAAAGACCTCAATAGTCAATAGTAAAGACCTCCAAACTTCATGTGGCGTTCAGATAAGCACAACAACAGTGCGTAGAGAGCTTCATGGAATGGGTTGGGCTTGGCCCCCTAGTTCCAATGAAGGGAACTCTTAAGGCGACATTTTGGACAACTTCATGCTCCCAACTTTTTGGGAAGAGATGGGGATGGCCCCTTCTTGTTCCAACATGACTCCGCACCAGTGCACAAAGCAAGGTCCATAAGAACATGGAGGAGTGAGATTGCGGTGGAGGAATTTGACTGGCCTGCACAGAGTCCTGACCTCAACCCCATAGAACACCTTTGGGATGAATTAGAGTGGAGACTGCGAGCCAGGCCTCCTCCCCCGACATCAGTGCCTGACCTGACAAATGTGCTTCTGGAAGAATGGTCCAACCTTCCCATAGACACCCTCCTAAACCTTGTGGACGGCCTTCCCA